CTCTCTCTCTCTCAAAAATAAATAAACATTAAAAAAAAATTTTTCCCCACAGTTCTGGAGGCTGGAGATTGAAGATCAAGGTGTCAGACCCCCTTTCTTGGCGTGTCGATGGCTGTCTTCTCCCCCTGTGCTCACGTGGTCGTCCCCCTGTGCCTGTCTCTGTCCCAGGACCCTCTTCCTATGAAGACACCGGTCATATTGGATCAGCGCCCACCCTACCGGCTTCATTTTAACTTAATCACCTCCGTAAAGACCCTATTTCCAAGAACAGTGCATTCTGAGGTGCTGAGGGTTGGGGCTACAACACGTGAATTGGCAGGGTGGACCCACCAGCCCATAACACTCTCCCCCCCACGCACCCATGGGCTTACGTCAACATGAACTGGGTTTCAGTCCCTCCACCCTTCAGAGAGCCTAGTTAAGCGACCGCCTGTCCACCGGGCTTGACCCCAAAGTGCCTCCGTCCCATCCCCTAACTCCTACCTGCCTTGTGCATGCACGTACCCACGCACACGTGGGTGCACACACAGCCTCCCGCTGCATGCCAAGCACTGTCTGCAGCACGGAGAACAACAGGGAAGAATGAAACCATTTTTAATTCTTTTTCTTTTTTAACGGACCGACTCTTCCCAGCTAGAGATGCCCTCCCTGGAGCCTGTGACGTTGCATTTGTGGGGATGACGCTGCCCTGTGTCTCTTGGCCACCACGCCACCGACTGGACGCCCCAAGGGATGCCCCCCCCCCCCCGCTTCTGGTTTCCTGCTGGGGTTTCAGGGCCCCTCTGTTCCGGCCGGGCAGGGCCCCTCCGGCTGTAGCTCGCGGTAGAGGTCAGTCCAGAGCCGAAAGGTTGGAGCTGGTATCACCCTGACAACACTGAGCCTAGGACACCAGGGCAGGGCTCTGCCGGGAGCCCCACGGACGCAGACGGGCACGTAGCACCATCCGAGGGAGAGCCGGGGACCAGTCTCCGGCCCCAAGCAGCGGACAGAAGGAAACATGTGACGTGGAAGCCGGTGTGAGGGGCAAAATCCAAACAAGGCAAGGGGAGAAGACGACCACAGATGCGTGCCGGGTGGGCAAGGCTCCATAAAGGGGGATTCGTTGGCTCTTTTCCTCCCTGGATCCACCCGTGGTCGTGGTTTCGTGGCCACTGCAGCCCACGAACTCCAGCATCAGAGTCATCGGCGGCCTCGGACTGGCTTGCTAAGGACGCCAGAGGCACCCGGAGCGTGGAGGCCGTGGGGTGGGGTCTGGTGAGGACCCTAGTCGGCCCCCTTCTGGTGGCGTCCATCATCCTGGCTGGCAGGAGGGGCGAGGGAGCTCTCGGGGGTCTCCCTTCTAAGGGCACTCGTGGCATCCGTGGCGGCTGCACCCGCATGACCTCGCCACCTCCCAAAGGGCCCCCTCCAAACACCATCACGCCGGGGGTGACGGTCCAACATGTGGATGTGGGAGGGGAAGAAACGTTCAGTCCGTAACACTTCATGTATACGTACGGTAAAACCCTGGATCGCAAGTAACTCGTTCAGCGAGGGTGCCGCGAGACCAGCCAAGGTTTCTAATACATTTTCGCTTGATAGACCAGCGATGTCTTGCAACACGAGTCGAACGTGATGCCACACGTCACATGATCACAACTCAGCCGATGGTTCCTGAAATTCGCTTTGATACACAAGCGCTTTGGATGACGAGCACGTTTCCAGAACGAATTCTGCGTGCAAACCAAAGTTCTACTGGTTTTTTTTTTTTTTTTTTTAATTTTTAAATGTTTTCTGTTTATTTTTGAGACAGAGACGGAGCATGAGTCGGGGAGGAGCAGAGAGAGAGGGAGACACGGAATCCGAAGCAGCACCAGGCTCCGAGCTGTCCGCACAGAGCCCGACGCGGGGCTCGAGCCCACGAACTGTGAGATCATGACCTGAGCCGAAGTTAACTGACTGAGCCCCCCAGGCGCCCCCTTACTGTAATTCAAATTTGGCTCAGGCCTGATGGACGTTGCCAACCGCTTCTGTGAAACCACAGGCCCAAGACGCCGGCCTGATGTTTTCTACGACATAAACATACGCACAAACATACATGTGTATGGATGTGTCCGGAGCATGTGTGTGCCAAGTACATGAATAAGTATGGAAGCAACTATTGCAGCAGATGCGTGTCTGTGTTTCCCCCACGATCAGACCACGCTCCGCGAGGGGCAGAGGCACCGCACCAGAAACCGCTTGCTTTGGGGAACAGAGATCTCGCTCGGCGTCCGCCTGAAGGGCTTCTAGTGAAGCCAGCAGCCCGCGAGTCAGTCCATTCCCTTCCCAGCTCCAGGGGTTTGCAGGTGTTTGCTCACGCACGATGCCCCCTGATCCCCGTTCCCTCTTGCACACTAGTCCCTCGACTGGTATTTTTAAGCACCACACACCCCTTGTTCCCCAGACACCTCTGTCCCCTGCCCCGGATATAGACCCTCAAGCATCCTCCCAGCCCCTCAGTTCTTCCAGCCCCCCTACCTCCGGACATTCCCTCTATAAACATGTTCCTGAAATCAGACATAGTGTTGCCAACGGACTTGAGCAGTGTGACTCATTCCTAAGGGCAGGCCCTGTGCTGAGTGCTTCCTACGTGATCTCTTCGAGTCCTTCAAACAACCCTGACAGACAGGTACCCTTATCTCCACTCTACAGAAGCAGGAAGAAGTGTAGACATGGGCCCATGGTTTACACAATTGGGAGTAGCAAAAGTAGGACTTGAACCCAGATAGTAACCATTATCTCATATCCTCCCCTAACCTGGGGGCTATGCTTCTAGTAATATGACCAAATGTAGCATCAGCTTCTTCAAAAAAAATCCACATCTCACAGTTGTCTCATTTAACTTGTGGCCACTGTGTCAGTGGCGTTGACTTCAAGCTGCCCATAGGAGTTACCAGAGAAGCCTGGTTAAGAATTTTGGATTCCAGGGGCACCTGGGTGGCTCAGTCGGTTGAGCATCCAACTCTCGGTTTTGGCTCAGGTCATGACTTCACAGATCATGAGTTCGAGCCCCACATCAGCCTCTGCACTGACAGCAGGGAACCTGCTTGAGATGCTCTCTCTCTTTCCCTCTCTCTCTGCCCCTCCCTCGTTCATGCTCTGTCTCTCTCTGTCTCAAAAATAAATAAACATTAAAAAA